AGGATGTTAGACAGCTTTCTGGAATGACATTAGCCGCAACATTTAACCTGCTTGGCTCACCTGGATTCGTGAGCAGGTTGATAGTAGATCGAATTTTTAAGGCTCCACGTTTTCAAGATCAGAAATCTCAATGCATATTAAATAGAATGGGCATCAAAATTCCTGTTTCATTAATTGATGAACATGGGTGGTCTGGTGATGAACCTTTAATGCTAGTTGTTAGCCGAGGGCTACTATCGAATTTGTCAAGGTCAACATTGATATACCCAATATCTTTGGATTGTGAATATGCGGTTGTAGCTTTGAGGTCAGTCTGTCTTATTTCTTAATTAAAACCGCACAGATAGCAGAAATGTTGCTCACGGCATAATTTTTTATTGCATTCTTAATTTAACATCAGATCTTATTCGAACATAAAGTCACTTCACCATATACTGTTCATTAGCATTGAACATTTTTCTAATAAAGCACTTAGTGTGCAAACAAAAGTGGTGGCATTCGAAACAATGGGGATTTGGCTTGAAGAAACGGAGGGTATATTGGGCGATCCATGTAACAATGATCAAGAAACAATGGGAATTAGATCAATATTTAGCTCAGATCTATTAGAAAAATTAATGTCATATGTTTGGAATAATTGGGATGATCCAGTAGAAGCCATTCAATATAAGGTAAGAAGTTATTATTAAGTCTCACCAGTAGAATTTTACTGTTATTAAACTTTAAAAAGTTTTTATTTCTGAAATAAAATATATTAGGTCAAAACAATATTTGAAAGATTGTTGGATGTGTATTATCTTAAATGTCATTTAGAAAATTCGACAGAACTTTATGATCAATTTCAAATGGGTCTATTAAAGCGTTTGCTTGCGATGGATTCGTATCGTAAAGTAAAATATGCACTATTGTCATTATTGCTTCCCAGGATTGGAACAGAGATTTTTCTAGAGATTCAAACTGATTTTGTAAGTTCTGTATTAGAAGTATTTCAAAATCTTGTTATTGCGCCAAGAGCTGCACAATTGTTGGTTTTATTCCTTGATCAATACTTCAATGAAATTGTGAAATCATCCAGCAAGGGCACATCTAATGATGTGCAACATGAGGTAAGTAATTGAGTGAAAGTATCGCGGCATTAGCGTATGCGTTTCCTCCTAAATAATTGTTATACAAACAGGATATTGAAGGGCAATGGGCAGGCATATGGCTTGGTCCAATTTGTAAAGGTCTTTCATCAAGTGATGAAATTTTGAGAAAGAATATAGGAGCCTTCGTTTTAAAGCCTCTATTCAAAAGCAGGCCAAATTCATTTTGGAAATTATTAGAAAAATTGCAAGATCAAAAGAATTCAGAAGGCTTTATAAAAGACGATCAATATAGATTAAATGCCTTGATAATGATACTTAAGATCGCCAAATCTTTAGATATAATCGATAGCGGCAAGTTCATCGAAGGTATCTAATTTTATTAACTCCAATTATCATTACTTGTGTAGCACACTTAAAAGTTTTCTTGATTTTTATAGATCCATCAAATAATAAAAGATTCTGCTTAGAGTCTCTTCGTGATGCAACCCATCATCTGGATCCAAACATTCGCATTGATATCCTTGGTCTCATCTGTGAATCCCAAAAGTCAACAACGGAGATAACATCAGTTGAACTTTCACTCCTCCAATCTTTTTTCAAAATGAATCTCAATTCGACTTCTCCGGAATTCCGACAAAAACTCTATGGTTATTTGACCAAATTATTTAC